ACTAGTGGAAGCTGCGCGTGGACAGACTCATGCATGTGTGTGTGTGTGCGCGTGCGTGCGTGTGTGTGCGCGTGTTAAGAGTTCGACTTCTTAGATGTGACTGACTAGTGGAAGCTGCGCGTGGACAGACTCATGCATGCGTGTGTGTGTGTGCGCGCGTGTTAAGAGTTCGACTTGCAAAACTGAAGCTATCTCAAACTTAGTCAACAAGAGAAACACAATTTTTCAAGCTATTTAAGAAATCTGGAAAGTAAAAGTCAACATGAAATCAAAATCGACCTCATTTACATATATTACTACATATTTTAATTTGTTATATTTTTCAATTGCACTTTTTAACTAGCAATCCTAACCCTTGCTGGCAAATGGATGACACTTTCTATGAAGACCATGCTTATAATGAATCATAGCTCAATTTATACTTAATTATAAGTATTACTATTTTATAAAGACTCATTATGACCTATACTGCGTTTTAAAGAACAATTATAAAAGTAATTATAAAAAATAATATAAATATAAGTCATGCATTTGTGTTTTCAATGCACATGCTCATAATCCATTATACACTGATTTATAAGTATTAATTAGTCAGTTAATTAGTCCAATTAATGTACTTATAAAGATGCATCGCTATAATGTTATTATATTATAGTTGCAATAACTTTAGTAATTATTTCTGTAAAATAAGTGAATATATTGTTATTAATAACCGTGTTATGTTCTATAACTACTTCTTGTGAGTGATAATACAGTTATTATCCTCTATAAATGCATCATTGATGACTAAGTAAAAGTGAAAACATAGGATGCATTTTTTTCTAAATCAAAATGCTAAGAAATCACGAAGATGTGCTCATTATACATGTTAAGTTACTTGTAGATGTAACTAATGAACTGTAATTCCTGTATATAAAAATAAATAATTCCTGTAATAAAATAATGGGGGAAAAAACTGTAATCAAACCTTATTCAATGTTACACACTAGCAGAAGACTGCAACAATATTATATAAAGTATAATTTCAAACTACTATACGCAATACCATGCATATGGCTGAGGAGATATAGATTTTAACAAATCATAAATACCATTCATGACCTGTGATGCAAACATTAGCCATTAAAGACATAATTTGTACAGCAAACAAGTTTCTCTGGAACAATTTTATATTTGATCATTTATAAATAAGTGTATAATGGATTATGAGCATGTGAATTAATACATGACTTATAAGTAGTTATTAATAAAAAATATATAAATGTAACTATAACTGTTCTTATAATGCAGTATAGGTCTTTATAAATATATTTATAGAATAGTAATACTTATATAAAAGTATAAATGAGGCTATAATATATTCTAAGCATGGGCTTCATAGAAAGTGTTACCAAATAAAGTATTGCTCTACATTTCCCCCAAATTAATATATCCTGTTCGACTTATAAACTGCATTTTTATGTTGAAGGCCGGCCTCAAATGCAAGTATGGCGATTTACGGTCTCTCTCCGCTTTACCAAACAGGAAATGATGCAACATTAAATGTTACAATGCCGTTTGCCAACTGAGCATCACTTAAATAAACAGATCTTAAACCTTAAAAAACAAACACAAACTCCATCAAAAAGCATGTGTCTCCCACTTTACAAATGTTCAGCATTAAAGTTAATACGGTTATATTGGGTTATTATTCATGCTTGCTTTTTTCCCCTAAAAAAAGACAATTTTGAAAAATTTAGGAGCGCAATGAAAATGTACTAAATAATTTTTTTTATACAGAGAGTCATTACTAGCAAAATTATTTAATTTATTTCAATACAAAAACTACACCGGTTTTAAATATTTCTACTTCAAACTGTATTTATGTAATATTTATGAAATTATGTTTATTCTAAACATAGAATTAAATGCCAGATAAAGATTATTTTGTAATAATCATTAAAAAAAAAAAAAGTATAATGCAGGACTTTTAATTTTAAACAAGCCCAAAATACACCAGGACTCTTATTTTGAAATGTCTTCAGCTGCTCATTCACACACGAGAAAGCTACAATATGCTCTCTTACAACCATCTGAAACATATTCCAATACAAACACCATGGTGTACTAATAAACACTGCATTAAAGGTCATGTTCTCGGATCACACAGACCTTGAGAATTGTTTAATTTCAGCGGTGTAATATCACTAAAGGGCTTACTTGGTGAGCTGGCCTCGGGCTCGGTTGTTGTCGATGCCGTTACAGGTTACGGCCGCCAGCTTTCTGCTTCTGTAGTTCTCGTAATGAACGTTATTCGTGACGTCCTTGAGGTCCTGCATGTGCGTTCTGACACAAAACACACGGTTACGGCAAAACGCCTCATACTTTATTAAAACAGGGACGTTTGTATACAGTGACGCCACAAAGTATAAAGACAGCACAGTCATGAGCTTAAAGCATGCATGTCATTATTTTAGATGCATAAAAGATATTAAATGTATTTACCTGATGAGCATATTCCTTACGAGTGTGAAGTCACAGTGGTCTCCATTCTCCACTGGGCAGAAAGAAACGAGAATCAGGTTTTACACGCATCGAGATATTATATTATTATATTACAGCTGTTGACTGCTGGTCAGAGATTGACCTCATAAACAGCAATTTCAGCATATAAACATATCCAGGAAAAACAACAGTAAAAAAATTACGATTTAAATCAGCAGTTTTCTATGTGAATATACAGTAAAGTGTAATTTATTCCTGTGATCAAAGCTGTATTTTCAGCATCATTACTCCAGTCTTCAGTGTCACATGATCCTCCAGAAATCACTCTAATATGAGGATCTGATGCTCAAGAAACTTTTATGATTATTATCAATGTTGAAAACAGTTCAGATTTTTTTTTTTAAACCATTACACTATATTTTTTCAGGATTCAGGATTTCAGGATGAATCAAAAGAACAGCATTTATTTGAAAAAGATTTTGAAATAGTCTTTACCAGGGTTCCTGCACACTTTTGAAAGTCAAATTTAAGGCTTTTTAAGACCTTTTTAAGACCTGAAGAAATCAAAATTAATACCGTACATTAGGGCTGTGCAGTATTGACAAAAATATATCTTGATATTTTCAACGTTTTGTTGATAATAATTAGATGATATTTTACTGATTGTGTTTTTGTGCTGGTGCCATGGCTGGTTTAGGTCTGTTGTTGACAGCTGACTCACGAAGATATTCATATTTTTCATATTCTATGCAGTGGTCAGTTCACAGCAGTGACAGAAATTAATATTTTAATTAAGGGGCAATATTTGCCACCTTAAATTGATTTTTTTCAGGGGCATTTTCACCTATATATGGAAATTTTTTCTAAACTTATTTAGAGTTATGCATCACCTTTAATGTCAAATACTATCATTCAAATTAAATTATACAGTAATTATACAATAATACTACTTAATTATATAATAATCATACAATACCACTGTTACAGTCAAATTAAATCATTCAATCAAAATCCATCTTTGCAGTGCAGAGGTGACAGAAGCGGCATCAGAAGTGGCATTAATATATTTACACTCCATTTACAACTGCATAAATAAAGCTATGAGATATACATTTTTAAATCAATATTCAATATTTAAATATGAAATGATTTCTAATTTTAACATTTTATTTAAAGGGTACTTTAAATATGAAACCGCAGCGGCAAATCACTGTCTTAATAAGTGAGTTGAGGGAGTCATTCATTCAACCGATTCGTGCAAACGGCTGATTCATTCGGGAAAGAAGCAAGTGATTCGTTCAAAACGCGGATTTCAGTCAAGAAATCATCGCTGTGTTGCATTGAGACTCTGCTACGGTTTCATTATGAAATTATAGTCGGCGAAATAAAGGGAAAACAAACAATATTGACAATATTGTGTCTAAAAAGTAACTCAATGTTAACTTATTGTTAATTTAACTGTTGTATAACATAAATATCACAATTGGAATTGTGCACGGGAAAACGGCACTCTTTCTGATGTGATATTCTAATATAAGAACATAATATGATATAAATATAAGACAAAAACTAACTTGGGGACATAACAGTTACACTGCACACATCACGCAGTGAAAGCACGAGAGAAATGCGATGTCAGCTGGCAGTGCCTCGTACATCGTTAAAACAATGATTACAATATCATAATAGACAATACACATCGCACACCATACCCACATAAAGAATGAACTTACAACTGAACTGACATTTACGACCTTTCTTCTCCTTCTCTCCTCTCGCGTGCAGGAGACAGTTATGCTGCCGCGACTCGCGAGTGACGCGAAATGTCACGTGAACGAGCAAATCCACAAAGATAGAATAATAAATAAATAAAAATACGTACGCTAATTAGATGGTTTTAATTTGGAAAGCTTTTAGATATGTCTAAGTCAAAGTGTCATCTAAAATTTAAGACCTTTCATAAGTAAAAATAAGACGATATAAGACTTTTTATGGCCTTAAATTTTAAAAATCTAATTTAAGACTTTTTAAGGATCTGCGGGAACCCTGTTTACTGTAACCTTACATCTATTTAATGTATACTTTCAGAAAAATAAAATTCACATTCGCAATCGTATATTCACTACAGAAACTCCAAAGACTATATCCAGGACTAATTTCCTAATATTTTCTGGTTTTCCATGGCCGAGTTTAATTAAATATTCTAAAATTAACTGATTCTTCACAAAAAGCAAAATCACCCTCCATAGTTTTTTATTTTAATGTAACCTTCTCAACCGAAGCGAGTGCACATGTACCTTCTGCCACGCCCCACGGGTACTGCCGTCCCCTGACCTTCTTCCCGTTCGCCTCGATGATAGTGTTGCTCCCAACCACAGCGAGAGGCAACCGATCCTGTGTGTGTGTGTGTGTGTGTGTGTGTGTGTGTGTGTGTGTGTGTGTGTGTGTGTGTGTGTGAGAGAGAGAGAGAGAGAGAGAGAGAGAGAGAGAGAGAGAGAGAGAGAGAGAGAAAGAGAGAGAGAAAGAGAGAGAGAGTGTGTGTGTGTGTGTGTGTGTGTGTGTGTGTGTGTGAGTGAGTGAGTGAGTGTGTGAGTGAGTGAGTGTCAGTGAGAAAGAGAGATCATCATTTTTTACATTCCCAAACTCATATTCAAACATTACATAATAAAATTAGAACTTATATAAACGCACAGATGTATACAAAAATGTGTTTTTTTTTAAACGAAAATTTCAGAACCATCACATCATCATAAATGGTGCATAAAACACCATATTTCAATAAAACCAATTTTGCAGTCCCAATCAGATAACTTAATAAACACACTTTCTTTCTCATCAAAAATATTTTTAATTTTAAGGCTATTGACAGTATATTCTGATTTACAGGATAACAAAAGTAGATATCCATAAATCCCTCTGTCATTTTTTCTCCATCTAATATGTGAACACAATGAAAAAATAATTTTGAACCTGGCTTTATCAATACTCAGATTTCGTTTTTTAAAATATATGCAAATTAGTGCATATTTAATTAGATAATGCCTAATTTGCATATTTAAACATTAAATTACAGAAAACTTGTAATACATTTTTTTCCTCATCTTAATATAGGTAATCAACTGGGCAAGTTTCATGGTGATATCTGCTAGTTAAAAAAAATACCCTATTCACCTGTAGTGTCTCGCCTTAATGCCACAATATACTACAATATAAACAAAGCGTTCCCAGAACTAGAAACAAGTCTAGAGAGAGAGCGGCTCATGGATGGCAGTTCACAAGGCAACACACAGCTTGGCAGCCTCTCAACGCATGTACACAGATCCAGAATCAGATCTTTACCACCATTACACCCGAGGACAGGCTTTATTCTGCTATTCAACAGCATTTCAAGAGGACAGATCACGGAAAACTGAATATTTCTTATGTTTGTTTTGCAATAAGTGTGTTTAATGTACAAAGTACAACACGAGACTCCTCCCTCAGAACATTTAATGAAACTAAGCCGCAAAAACAATTTGTTTAGAAATGGTTTTGTTTATGATATCACAATCATTGGAACTAGTGATCGACCGATATATCGATATATGTTACTTTTATTAAATTGAGACCTGTAACATTTGTTAACATCATGTCATTTTTATGATGTAAATTGAGGGAGCAAAATGTATCGGCTCCAAATATCGGCTCAAGAAAATCGGCAGCCCGTATCGGTCATCGGCTAAGGCTGATGGGAAAAAAATCGGCACTAAAAAATCCATATCGGTCGATCCCTAATTGGAACAATGCACGTTTTAGATATTGAATTAAATGCCAGATAAAGTTACTTTTTAGCTGAAACACTAATAATATTAATTAAAATACAAAACAAATCTGGTCTCTAACAACCATCTGAAACATATTCCAATACAAATACCAAGTACATAATTTCATATTTGATGCAAGTCATAATTAAATCAATATTACAATAATATTTATATAACACACACACAGGTGAAACTAAAAAAACTAGAATATGGTACAAAAGTTCATTTATTTCAGTAATTCAACTTAAAAGGTGAAACTAATATATTATATAGACTCATTACATGCAAAGTGAGATATTTCAAGCCTTTATTTGTTATAATTGTGATGATTTACATAAATGAACTATTCTAATTTTTTGAGTTTTAGCTGTATATATTATATGAAATCATCGCCAATAATCACATTAAGCTGTATCGTGATTCTTTTAACACTTTTATTATTTTTTAGTTTAAATATTTAAGTTTATGTTAAGTTTAAGTTTATGACCATACTTTAAAAAAAAAAATTTTCAGCACCGTCTAGTCCTGATTACACACATGTTGTCAAAAGACTTTAATTATGATTGTTTGTTTATGTGGGAAAGAATGCTTGCACAAATGTGGAACTCTTACTTTAATTTTCTTCACAATCTTGTTTTCTTCCTCATCATCCGTCTCTGGAAACTCGTAGATTTTGATCTTGTGCTCCAGGATTTCTCGCATAATCTAGAGAAACATAAAAACGTCACACAACCTTTCAGCGGACCGCCGAGAGCGAGTGTTTAGGCTTGAGGAACATCCTCGGTTTATTTGTGCTCAAATCTTTTCATCTGATCTTTCCCGTCTGGGCGGCACTTCTGTGCTCCTGTTCCCGGTTCCTGCAGAGATAATACTCCGACAGATGGCAGAACACTCGAGACACACACACACACACTCGAGACACACACACACACACACACAACACTCGAGACACACACACACACACAACACTCGAGACACACACACACACAAACACAACACTCGAGACACACACACAACACTCGAGACACACACACACACCACTCGAGAGACACACACACACAACACTCGAGACACACACACACACACACACACTCGAGACACACACGGTGCGCCGGAGGCCTGAACTCCTGCCGCTCCTCTTTTGCCTTTTCCTTAAAGGGATAGTTCACCCAAAAATTAAAATTAGCCCAAGAATTGCTCACCCTGAAGCCATCAGTCAGACGGATACAATCAGAGTTACATTAAAAAATGTCCAGGCTCTTCCAAGCTTTATAATGGCAGCCAATGGCCGTTTCTATGATGGACAGATGCACTTTTATGATGGATAGATGCTCTTTTATGATGGATAGATGCACTTTTATGATGGACAGATGCTCTTTTATGATGGATAGATGCACTTTTATGATGGATAGATGCACTTTTATCATGGATAGATGCACTTTTATCATGGATAGATGCACTTTTATCATGGATAGATGCACTTTTATCATGGATAGATGCACTTTTATGATGGACAGATGCACTTTTATCATGGACAGATGCACTTTTATGATGGATAGATGCACTTTTATCATGGATAGATGCACTTTTATGATGGACAGATGCTCTTTTATGATGGATAGATGCACTTTTATGATGGATAGATGCACTTTTATGATGGATAGATGCACTTTTATCATGGATAGATGCACTTTTATGATGGACAGATGCTCTTTTATGATGGATAGATGCACTTTTATGATGGATAGATGCACTTTTATGATGGATAGATGCACTTTTATCATGGATAGATGCACTTTTATGATGGACAGATGCACTTTTATCATGGATAGATGCACTTTTATCATGGACAGATGCACTTTTATGATGGACAGATGCTCTTTTATGATGGATAGATGCACTTTTATGATGGATAGATGCACTTTTATCATGGATAGATGCACTTTTATCATGGATAGATGCACTTTTATGATGGACAGATGCTCTTTTATGATGGATAGATGCACTTTTATGATGGATAGATGCACCTTTATGATGGATAGATGCACTTTTATCATGGATAGATGCACTTTTATGATGGACAGATGCTCTTTTATGATGGACAGATGCACTTTTATGATGGATAGATGCACTTTTATCATGGATAGATGCACTTTTATCATGGATAGATGCACTTTTATCATGGATAGATGCACTTTTATCATGGATAGATGCACTTTTATGATGGACAGATGCACTTTTATGATGGACAGATGCACTTTTATGATGGACAGATGCACTTTTATGATGGACAGATGCACTTTTATGATGGACAGATGCTCTTTTATGATGGACAGATGCTCTTTTATCATGGATAGATGCACTTTTATGATGGACAGATGCTCTTTTATCATGGATAGATGCACTTTTATCATGGATAGATGCACTTTTATGATGGACAGATGCACTTTTATGATGGACAGATGCACTTTTATGATGGACAGATGCACTTTTATGATGGACAGATGCACTTTTATGATGGACAGATGCTCTTTTATGATGGACAGATGCTCTTTTATCATGGATAGATGCACTTTTATCATGGATAGATGCACTTTTATGATGGACAGATGCACTTTTATGATGGATAGATGCTCTTTTATGATGGACAGATGCTCTTTTATGATGGACAGATGCTCTTTTATCATGGATAGATGCACTTTTATGATGGACAGATGCACTTTTATGATGGACAGATGCACTTTTATGATGGACAGATGCACTTTTATGATGGACAGATGCACTTTTATGATAGACAGATGCACTTTTATGATGGACAGATGCTCTTTTATGATGGACAGATGCACTTTTATGATGGACAGATGCTCTTTTATGATGGACAGATGCTCTTTTATGATGGACAGATGCTCTTTTATGATGGATAGATGCTCTTTTATGATGGACAGATGCTCTTTTATGATGGATAGATGCACTTTTATGATGGATAGATGCACTTTTATGATGGACTTTATGATGGACAGATGCACTTTTATGATGGACAGATGCACTTTTATGATGGACAGATGCACTTTTATGATGGACAGATGCACTTTTATGATGGACAGATGCACTTTTATGATGGACAGATGCTCTTTTATGATGGACAGATGCTCTTTTATGATGGACAGATGCTCTTTTATGATGGATAGATGCTCTTTTATGATGGACAGATGCTCTTCTATGATGGATAGATGCACTTTTATGATGGATAGATGCACTTTTATGATGGACTTTATGATGGACAGATGCACTTTTATGATGGACAGATGCACTTTTATGATGGATAGATGCACTTTTATGATGGACAGATGCACTTTTATGATGGACAGATACACTTTTATGATGGACAGATGCACTTTTATGATGGACAGATGCTCTTTTATGATGGAAAGATGCACTTTTATCATGGATAGATGCACTTTTATGATGGACAGATGCACTTTTATGATGGATAGATGCACTTTTATGATGGGCAGATGCACTTTTATGATGGACAGATGCACTTTTATGATGGACAGATGCACTTTTATGATGGACAGATGCACTTTTATGATGGACAGATGCACTTTTATGATGGACAGATGCACTTTTATGATGGACAGATTAGGGGTGGAACGGTACATGTATTCGTATCGAACCGAAACGGTACGGGCGTCACGGTTCGGTGCACGAATTTACACGGAGAATACACGGTATAAAAATAAATAAAACTCGCGTGCAAATTAATTAATGTAATGCGGAACTACTGTTAGATACGCGGGTTCTTTAGGGACACATAATCTGTAGCATCGGCTTAGCTCTGAACGCGCGTTCACTTCAAATGTTGGCTTTATACGCGCGTCCTATTCGCTTTGGACTAGCGTCGAACTAGACGCTCTATTCACGTTTGGTGTGACCGTGACCGCATAATGAACAGGCAGCGATGTCAAGATTGCAATGCTGGAGTGTGTGTGTGTGTGTGTGTGTGTGTGTTTGTGAGAGAGAGAGAGCGGCGCGCGGGCGCGATCGAACTGTGTGAGTGTGTGAGAGAGAGAGAAGCGCGAGATCGAACAGTGGAAACATAAAAAACATAGGCCTACTCCGTCATTTTGTTCATTCAGATCATTAAACCTGCAAAGTGTTCACTTATATTTGTGTACACTCGCAATAAAACACAACATTGTGCTTTTGTCACTATAAACTCTTGTCAAACTGTAACCTACAACTGTCACCCAACCAAAATCACACACACACACTGTTTTAAAAGCAAAACATATTTATCCAACTTTATTTCAAAACAGTCTGTGGGTCCCATCTTTTGGACATTTGTCATATTGCATTGGTTTCCATTTCTTGTCCTCGGAGCACTAATCTCACACATTCTACATTCATTAAAAAAAGAAAATTGAATGTTTTTAATGGTAGTATTATTTTATACATGCAGAAATCAATTATTTATAATTCAGATGAGAATAATGTTACATTGTCAATTCATAATGTTAATTAAAATTAAGGAAAACAAATATATTGATCTGAAATATAGAAAAACAATTTTAAATTAATAGTACAATTACCAAACATATCGCAAGGTCTTTGTCTTTTTATTAATTTAATTAATAAACTAATTATATAAAACTATTGTCAGTGCATAAACTGGTTCTATGCCTTTATTAATAAAACTGCATTTTTGTTTTGCTTTTCCCTCCATTGTACCGAAATCGTACCGAACCGTGACTTCTGTGTACCGTTCCACCCCTAGGATAGATCCACTTTTATCATGGATAGATGCACTTTTATGATGGATAGATCCACTTTTATCATGGATAGATGCACTTTTATGATGGACAGATGCACTTTTATCATGGATAGATGCACTTTTATGATGGACAGATCCACTTTTATGATGGACAGATGCACTTTTATCATGGATAGATGCACTTTTATGATGGACAGATCCACTTTTATGATGGACAGATCCACTTTTATCATGGATAGATGCACATTTATGATGGACAGATCCACTTTTATGATGGACAGATGCACTTTTATCATGGATAGATGCACTTTTATGATGGACAGATCCACTTTTATGATGGACAGATGCACTTTTATCATGGATAGATGCACTTTTATGATGGACAGATCCACTTTTATCATGGATAGATGCACATTTATGATGGACAGATGCACTTTTATCATGGATAGATGCACTTTTATGATGGACAGATCCACTTTTATCATGGATAGATGCACATTTATGATGGACAGATCCACTTTTATGATGGACAGATGCACTTTTATCATGGATAGATGCACTTTTATGATGGATAGATGCACTTTTATCATGGATAGATGCACTTTTATGATGGATAGATGCACTTTTATCATGGATAGATGCACTTTTATCATGGATAGATGCACTTTTATGATAGACAGATGCACTTTTATGATGGACAGATGCACTTTTATCATGGATAGATGCACTTTTATGATGGATAGATGCACTTTTATCATGGATAGATGCACTTTTATCATGGATAGATGCACTTTTATCATGGATAGATGCACTTTTATGATGGATAGATGCACTTTTATCATGGATAGATGCACTTTTATCATGGATAGATGCACTTTTATCATGGACAGATGCACTTTTATCATGCACTTTTATCATGGATAGATGCACTTTTATCATGGATAGATGCACTTTTATGATTGATAGATGCACTTTTATCATGGATAGATGCACTTTTATCATGATAGATGCACTTTTATCATGGACAGATGCACTTTTATCATGGACAGATGCACTTTTATCATGGACAGATGCACTTTTATCATGGATAGATGCACTTTTATCATGGATAGATGCACTTTTATCATGGACAGATGCACTTTTATCATGGACAGATGCACTTTTATGATGGACAGATGCACTTTTATGATGGACAGATGCACTTTTATGATGGATAGATGCACTTTTATGATGGACAGATCCACTTTTATCATGGATAGATGCACTTTTATGATAGACAGATGCACTTTTATCATGGATAGATGCACTTTTATCATGGATAGATGCACTTTTATCATGGATAGATGCACTTTTATCATGGATAGATGCACTTTTATCATGGATAGATGCACTTTTATCATGGACAGATGCACTTTTATCATGGATAGATGCACTTTTATCATGGATAGATGCACTTTTATCATGGATAGATGCACTTTTATGATTATAGATGCACTTTTATCATGGATAAATGCACTTTTATCATGGATAGATGCACTTTTATCATGGATAGATGCACTTTTATCATGGATATATGCACTTTTATCATGGATATATGCACTTTTATCATGGATAGATGCACTTTTTGGATGGATAGATGCACTTTTATCATGGACAGATGCACTTTTATCATGGACAGATGCACTTTTATCATGGATAGATGCACTTTTATGATGGATAGATGCACTTTTATGATGGATAGATGCACTTTTATGATGGACAGATGGACTTTTTGGATAGATGCACTTTTATGATGGACAGATGCACTTTTATGATGGATAGATGCACTTTTATGATGGATAGTAGGGATGGGCATTTTTCAAAAATAATGCATTCGAATATTCGGGCTCATAGAAATCGAATATTCGAATATTCGTATAGCCTATTTAAATGACATTTAACGAAAAAGACGTTATTTTTTAAGTACATTTTTCAAAAAGTTTTTGTCACCATTTCTTAACAAGCTTACGATTAGGCAATGCACAACAAGCTTACAATATATGTTAAAGTTTTCTTTTAGTTGAAAACATTAAACAGTTGGCCTATGTGTAAACAAAATATAAATAACAAAAGGATTTAAGCTCAAGCAGCGCGAGCGGAAAAAAAACGCCTAATAAAGCAGAGTAGCAGACTGCGCCAGATATCGAACAGAACGTACACACACACTCGAGTCAGCATGATTATCGTGTATATTGTTTCACGTTTATGTTGAGAAAAACAATAATGTCCACATGCAGGGACGCCGCCAGCAATTTAGTGCTATGCTCGAGTGAGAAAACGCGCTGCACTGACACGATTCAGAGACACAAACGATCACGGTGTTATAAGTTTCTAACAGCACTTTGCGTTTTCTGTTCTTAAACGTGTCTCTCTCAATGAAACTTAAGGGAAGTATATGTCTAAAAAAATAATTTTGCTATTAGATAAGTTATCATCTCTCGGATCACGCGCGCTACAGCTGCGCTTACCTGCAGTCGTAGTGATGGACAGCTGTCTTTCCTCAGTCGCCTGCTGTTTAAATTTCATGTGATTTCTCATTGTGTTGATGATAACTCAGATTAATTAATTCATTTGATCAAAAGTAATTCCCTTCTGTAAGATCATTTAGTAACATAATTTTCAACTAGTAGTCTAATTCCAAACTTCGCGAGGCAGACGACGACGACATTAGCCTATGTGATCAAATACAAACAACTTGTTAAACACGCACCACAGCACCACCCAGAGGATTTAGTTATAACTGCGAGTTAGTGCTTGGGATTTATTATGAAGCTACGGCTTCATAAATTCGATAAAATTCGAATAGTATTTTATTTTTTGAATAATAATTACAGATCGAATTCATACACATCCCTAATGGATAGATGCACTTTTTTGGACTTCCAAAGGCATACACCCATTCACTCCCATTATAAAGCTTGGAAGAGGCTGGACATGTTTTAATATAACTCTGATTGTATTAGTCTGAAAGAAGAATGTCATACACACCTAGGATGACTTTAGGCTGAGTAAATCATGGGCTAGTTTAATCAGGAGTTTAAACGGACATGACTTGGCGGCCGACTGACCTGTTTCTTGAACTGTTGGCACTCTTCGGGGGTCAGAGTATCTGCTTTGGCAATCAGTGGGATGATGTTGACCTTCTCATGCAACCGTTTCATAAACTCGATGTCCAAAGGTTTCAGTCTGGTGCAAAAGCATACAACACAACACCATGTTAAAGATGTAATGATGACAGTTCTCTCAGTGTCTTTAGTGGTGTTAAAGACTAATACAAGAACCACTGAAACTACAGTGGTGGGTAAAAGTGACGACATCATCCTTTAGTCAAATATTATGTTAAAGTCCCCCTGTAGTCAAAAATTGTATCCCTTAAAACTCATCTTTGATCACCAAAATGACATATTTAAGCGTTTTTTCTTCATGCCTTAAGATATCTTGAATGTAACTCGACAGTTATTTAATTGTGAGAGCGTTTAATAGTCAACAAAGACATCGACAGTGTGGCAGCATTTTGTTAAAATTGATAAAGGGAAAAAGTTTGAATGCAAAGTTTGCAAGCAACACTTAGCCTTCCACAGCTCGACGACAAACATGACATCATCTAAAAGCGGTAAGCTTGTCTGCGTTAGCTTGCCCTGTCTGTTTTGAGTAGGCTATATGAACATATCAGAATTGGCATATCAGTTATGCACTTTATTTAGTTTCTGCTCTTGATCTGGTTTGTTTAATAAATATTCTTTTTTTTATTAAAGTGGACGTGCCTTTTGTGTTTCTTAAGAGTAAAAGCTTTAAGTTAATAGTCTATTCGTGTCTCAGCCGCTCTGGGCGAGGACATGCACAGAGCGGCTGAAATGATAGTGTCTGACAGTTATAACTTATTATTATAACATATGACAAAAAGAATTGTCTAAATTATGTTACATATTCCTCAACAGCTCTTGTGATGATATTACTGCGCCGAGTCGAAGTGCTCCCAAGCACTTGCTATGGTATTCCGCCATACATTATAGTTATCCACTTTACACGCTTAGAAAAGCGCAACGTTTTATTTTGTGTCACCATTCTTGGTCGAGTTACACTACTCGTGTAACTGTATTTAAATAGGGAAAACGTGGAGGTGTTTGGTCGCTTCTCTGCTTGGATCCTAATGAATGAACTGGGCTAAGCTAAGTGCTAACAAAGCTTCGCCGCGCGTCAGAGCGATTTAGTGCACGCACTGAGACGAGAGAGGTACGCATCAACTCGTCTTAGTTAAGGGAATAACACAGTTTAATGTGAAAAAACGGTGGAGTATCCCTTTAAAATATCTTGAATGTAACTCGACACCCTCGCCTCATTTAGTATGCGTGGTTCTATGAATATGCAAATGAGCCCCGCCTCCACTCACTCACTCACTCAGAGATCCACTGGTTGACGATCACACGTTGATCTGATTGGTTACAAGGTCGTTTGTGACGTCAGAAACACCAGCGATTTCAAACCGTGTTTTTGAGACTGTCTTTGGTTCACTGCAGTTTTAAGCAGAAAATACTCAGCAATGCTGTCGACTTATGAACTTACACATGGTGTGTCTTAAAGCGCATTAAAAACACCACATACACACATAAACAACATTAAAAGCTGGACTTTCACCTCAGGGGGACTTAAAGGATTTTGTAAGCATATTGCGTAGTTGTAAATTTGTGATAAAGCAATGTAGAGCTGCACGATTAATCGGTAAAAGATGGCGATCTCGATTCAAACACCGACAGTCTTATTCCTAAATGACAGCGATTCATCCAAGTCTATAAGCGATCACAGAGAAAACTCAGATGTGCGTTAGCGCTGCCGCTGACCCACAGAGAGCAGTTGGCATGTACATTAATTCAGATTAAATCACAGAAATGGCTGGAATTAAAGGTTATAGTTCGGATATAAACTAGAAAAATTAAAATAGAGCAAATCAACCTGATGCTTCAGGTAAAGATAGTATCAAATACATTGTTACACCTGTAGGTGGCGACCAGTGACTTGTGTTTGTCATCGAATCATTCATTCAAGAGATTTGTTCAAAAACGCTGATTCATCCAGTAATGAAACGAGTGAAATCTTTATGAGGGTGTCATTGAATCATTCGCAAAAAAATATTAGTTCAAATGAATCAAAAAGCCCTTTTTTTTTTTTTTTATGTACTGTTTTTGTCAGAACTAGGGCTGTCACTTTTGTGAAAAAATCCTGTTCGATTTGAGACATAAGTGTTCATTGAATCGATTTTCCATGTTTAAAGACGTTTCCATTTTCATCCACAAATACAGGCAAATCCACGGACACCTAACAGGCGTTAGGACGAGCGTAAAGAGGCGCTTGAGACGCACAAGTCAGCAATATTCCTGATGATTTATTGGCGTGAAGTTTCAGCACAAATGAACTTTGGCGGGAAACGCGAGCCAATCCGGCGTGTTTCTGTGTTTGCTCACTTTGCTGGGGAAGTTCGTGTAAGACAAATCTGCGCGGATTTAGCGCAAATACGCAACTCGTGATCCTCATGATATATTAAATACAGTGTATTGCAGAATCTGTGCATTTCTGGCTTACTTGAACACACACACACACGTCACTACGCAACAAATAACGGCGCGCTTGTTCACTTGCGTTGAAGTAATAGCGCATATTAAATAGCATTTGGTGAACACAGAAGACAGTGTTATTGTCCAGTATTCGACATGTTCTGTGTCCTGTATTGATCTGTCCACCTAACACACATTTTTGGTAAAAAAAAAAAAAAAGGCCGTTAAAATCGATTCACTATTTTCGTTTTCGAAACTTGTGTTGGTTGGTCTGATCGATTGTGCAATCGATTTTCGAACGAAAAGTGACAGGCCTAATCAGAACCTACAAAATGTTATTTTATTTAGTGTTTTTTTTTCAGAGTCATGGGAGAATCGTGATCTCTAATTTAAACGTAAAAAATGTGTGATTCTCAATTTATCCAGAATCGAGCAGCTCTAACGCAGTGAAAGTTACGAGTGTTATAGTGCTTTAACAGTTAAACTGGTTTCCGTTTTGAATCGTGGTTAACAACATCCTTTAAGCTATTTACGGTCTGCCACACTTCAGTTCTGTGTTCCTGCGTCTTCACTGCACACAGATCCACTATTGTCTGAGAACAGCAGCTTACAGTGACCGTCATTCTCATGCTTTCACTGACTAAGAGGAAAATCACAAATTATTATAAAACCTCTAAACAGAAACAAAACCTAACAAACATACGGGGAAAAATAAACAAGTAAACTACACATGAAAAGCCTGCATCTCTTCTGCTCACCAAGGCTGCCTTTACTTGATCAAAAATACAGTAAAAAGAGTGAAATATTATTTTCATGTAAATCAGCTGTTGTCTATGTGAATATACAGTAAAGTGTAATTTATTCCTGTGATCAAAGCTGTATTTTCAGCATCATTACTCCAGTCTTCAGTGTCACATGACCCTTCAGAAATCACTCTAATATGAGGATCTGATGCTCAAGAATGATTTATGATTATTATCAGTGTTGAAAACAGTTGAAGTGCTTCAGATGTCGTCACTTTTGATCAATTTAATGCACTGTGTACCTCTCCTACGTCACGTTGTAGGGTGCAATTCAACACATGACACAAAAACTGAATAAACTCAGTATTACACTTAATTAATGATGCTTAATTGGAAGTCTATAGTTTTTCTTCCTATTATTAAAGAGGACATATTCTGCTTTTTTCCACGTTCATCTTTCTTTAGTGTGTAATGTTGCTGTTTGAGAATGAAAAATCTCTGCAAAGTCTCTTTATATCAGTGTTTCTGAACTCCTGAAACGCCTCCATTGTAGTCTTGAGTTTCTTCTGGGAACACGCCACAATATTCCTCATTATAATAATTAATGCGCAGAATAAAGGGGCGGGGCCTGGTTGAGTTAGTTAGTAGTGTGTTAAACTGGTGGTTATGGAAAGGGGCGGGACTTTTCCCAAACACACTCGAAGCGCTCGACCAATCACAGCACACTGATCCAGCCGACCAATCAGAGCACAGTGCGCTTTCAGAAGAAGGGGCTTCATAGAGACAGGAAGTAAACAGAGCGTTACTGACAGACTGGGAAGAGAGGAGCCGCAACAATGGAGAATATGAGGAAAATAATATATTCAAACCATAGCCTGTAAATAATTATGACCGTAGTGTGTGTGACGTCACCCGTAGTGTTTCTGAAGAACATTTTTGAAGCCCAAAGTGGGCGGAGCCGGCCGTCGCCATCTTGGCCGCGCGTCACTCCCGGATAAACGTAAATGTGCAGCGAGGCGGATTAGCTGAGGTGACGTGACGCTAACAGACAGCAGACAAACGGCTAGTAGTGACATCAGCGGCAATCCACCTGTCACTCAAGTGGCCACGCCCCTAATTATGCAGAACTTTAAGGCTTAATATAATTTAAACGGATGAGTTATAAAAATATTCACCCCCCTCACAGTCGTCATGAAGGATAAAAATAGCGATATAGACCAAAACCACTTTTTGCACCAGACTGTAAACATGTTTAATTCTGCTGTAAAGTTGGGTATTTTAACATGCGGGTCTATGGGATTGAGTCTCTTCTGCAGCCGGCCTCTAGTGGCCAGTGGAGGAACTGCAGTTTAATCACTCCAGTGTTGATTCAAGAGAGAGACAGGAAGGTTGCCGCTTGATTTAAACCCACTAAAAAGAAAATCAAAACCTTGTAAAAGGGCATAACAGGTCGTCTTTAAGAGTAATAAGAGCAGGTCTCTGGTCACTCACCCATGCCCTGACGGTGCGATGAAGTACAGGCAACAGTGAACTCTGCTGTCCGGCATCTGCCGTCTGTTCACACGGGACTCTGCGTTCAGATAATCCTCAAACTTGCTGTCGATGTGATCAATGACCGGCTGCCAGCTGGAGCAGAACACACAGATCAGGTCACGCTTTAGGCTCACAGTAACACCACCTAATTATATCAAGCAAACTGACATTAGGGCTGCACAATACATCGAAATTATAGAAATATCGCAAAAGTATATATCGCGATATGTGTATCGCAACGGCTTACAATAACTGAACAAAAGACAAAGAGAAAATCACTCACTGCTCTTGGCTGAGTTGCTTTACTAAGAATCAGTATATATACCAGAGTTTCCGCTAGAAAAAAATGGTGCCGGTCAAAGTGACCGGCAGAGGTTTCGTTTAACGGACATTTTGATGATATGCCGGTCAAATATCGCCTCTTAATTAGTCAAGTTGAGGAAAACTGGAGGCAGGCTATGTAACTTAAAAAATGACATAATCAGGCCGTATAGAATGCAACATGTTATTAACCTAACTTTCAAATAGACGGAAAAAAACATGAACGTCCGATTGGCGTCAATCAACACCAATTGTTTTTTACTATGGTTTCACACACATTCACTTTTTGAAACATTGAGGCACGGATGTACCTAATACAAATAAATAACTAGCTAACTAGTTAACATCTCCATTTAACTAGCAGATCATTCATTTAGTTCGCTAATAAATAAGAGATCTAGCGCTAAAATCAGTTGTTTTTTTTAATCAAGCTGAGCGCTCGTGTCGCTGCTATCAGTCGCATGGACGACGCGCTGCGCGAGTTGCGCAATCTTCACTCGGACGCGCGTTTCAATCTATCGCCGTTGCGGAGACTCTACACAGGCGAAGCACTGCTATTGGGCGCAGAGATATCACGCAACACCTGAAATAAAGCTTGCCACAAAGAACCGGCGAAAGTAATGATTATGCATGAAACATTTAAATTGTTGATAAATTGATAAAGTTGACGATGCAGACTCGCCATCTTCGCAGTAGTGAACGCGCCTAGAGAGAGAAATGCACACTTCATATGAATAAATTCTTATTTTTTAATCCAGGCAAATTTGTTGATGAAACATTGATTAAAATGAAGATACAATGTATACAAAACGAAATAAACTTTAAAGAAAGGCTTTCTACAAAACAAAACTAAATAAGTGGTCAAAATCATGTCTGACCAATTCCAAATGTTTTCCGATATATAGGCCTATTGGTCATCTTATGATCCTATCTTACTCATCTCATGCGGTTCCCTTTTCATATAGCCTAATCAACATAGATGAAATAAAATAATAATAACATTATATTAATTATAAAAATGAAACGTATATTTAAGTGTTTTAACTTATAATAAGCGTCACACCGCTCCGCTCACATGCTCTGGTGTGTAGTCTAATGCATGTGTGTGTGCATGTGGTGGAGGGGTGCGATTTTCGAATAATAATCAACCCAGCGATCTTCGAATATTATTTTTGCTTGAAAATTTCGATTTGTATAAATTGTATATTAATTTTAATCAATGTTTCATCAACAAATTTGCCTGGATTATTAAATAAGAAGCAAATATAGTGGACAATATGGCTAATCAGGACACGAAGGCAATAGCATCGTGCACACTTCTCTCTATAGGCGCGTTCACTACTGTGAAGATGGCGAGTCTGCATCGTCAACTTTATCAATTTATCAACTTCATCAATAATATCAATGGACCTGGCCATATTTAAAACGTCTCACTCAATTGTTCGTTGTTTAGGTCTATATTACAGCCGTTCTAGGCGTGCGCTTTATTTGAAATGCAGAATGCGATGTTGTTTAATAACTTTCAAACGAACGGTAGAGCCTGTTCCTTTATAACATAGCCAAAGGTCGGTGCATTTTTGCTTTATACATTTTAGGCTTATTCTCAAATTCATATTGTGTTAGGGGGGGCGGGATTATTACGCAATTTTAATCGGACAATTTGACCGGAGAGATTTAATTTTGTCGGACATTTCATTTTTTCCCGGCCAATGTCCGGTAATTACCGGACAACGGAAACCCTGATATATACGTATATATATTTAATTAATTTAGTGAAAACTAAGCAGTTTTATTTTTACATTTGATTACAATTTATTTTGTTAAAGGTACAATATGTAAGAATTTTGTAATAAAATATCCAAAAATCACTTGCACAGTATGATATATTTCCTGCAGTTGTGTACTTACAATATCCCAATAGTCTCCAAAGATTTTTTATTTCAGAGAAATTCCAATTTTCAATAGTGGCCGTCCCGGAAAAAAATGTCGCCTGTCAATGACGCAATATCCGCTATCCTCGGTTTCCGCTCGTACTACCATAGCCATGACGTAACCATGGCGACAGACGCGGACAACTGCGCAGTGCGTAACGTTTAGCGGCACGCAGTTCTTGTTTCTTTCAAACATAGACCATGGCAAGCAGACTTTGGGACAAACAAGGAGAACTAAAATGAGGATCAATATCAGCGTGGCGTTTTTGAGATGCCGAGAGCTAGCGTCCGCGACTAACTCAGACTCGACAGAGCTTCACGAGTCACGACAGCTTTATTAGACAGGTGAGCAAATGTACATAAAACAAATCAATGTTATATAACGTTAGCTCAACATGATGAAATGTTAGAATATGGTCAGTATGTTATTCTAATGTTGATCTAGCTCACTGCTAGTTTCGTATAGCAAACGAACTAACACGTAGTATAACATTATAACTTTCAACACACATTTTAATGCCGTTTAGTGTGACAGTGTAACGTTAGACCGAGTGAAGCAGCGCTGCGTTACCTCACTAGTTTAATTGGTCTAATAAACTGACCTGTGTGAGTAATCCAGCACTCGCGGGTTCGGTAGAATTAAATGTCCTTATTCCTCTATATCCGCGGGACTCGCGTGTGATATCTGTCTCTTTAGCAATCGCGACCTGCTTCATACCACTGCAATGTTTAAAAACATGAGTGTTTTCACTCTTCCATAAACATCATTAGATCCATCAGCTTGACAGCAAGTCCCATCATTCAGCTCATCACTGCGTCATCAACCTACGCCTGTGTTATTGTTGGACACTGCGCCCTCTTGTGGCGAAAAAACCCTACATATTGTGCCTTTAAATAACTCTAATGTAGGCCTACCTAAGACCCTAAACCCCGTGGTTTACACTGATGTTAAAATAACACTTCTTAAGCTACAGTAAAACACTGCTGTGCACTTTCAGAAGTTCTCGGCATGTTTTCGTCACAAAAAAAACAACCTAAAACATGTATGAAGGTTATATAAATTTAAATATATTTTACAGATCTTTTAAGTTTATTTTACACACTTGGAGCATTCTCGTATCGCATATCGAATATCGAATTTTTCTTCAATATTGTGCAGCCCTACATTAAACCATGCTGTGGTAATTATATCTGGCACTCGAGCGAAGTCGTCCTCACCAGTTGCTGTTGTCCACGGCGTCTCCAAACCCGGGAGTGTCCACTATCGTGAAGAGCAGCTGGACGCCGCCCTCCTTCATCAGCACCTTCGAGTGCTCCACCTGCGGGTACACACACCTGATGACCTCAGCAGCGGCTGATGCAGACGCTAGTCCGCTTGCTCACTTCTGGTGTCTGATACACACTGGCATCAGTGGCGTGTAATCGGACACTTGTTATAAAATGTAAAGTTCGATTCCTCTTATTGATTCCTTTGTAAGCATTTCAATATGACTTTCAAGCGTGAGACGACTCGCTCACTGCTTTATGTGCCGCACGCATGTGTAATAGTATATTGGATCCGTGCCGCTCTTAAAGGTGGGATCAGTCGTTTTTTTAAATATGCTGTTTGGAAGTTAGTCGGGCCGACACAACAACAAACGTGTAGCCAATCAGCATTAGAGTATGGCGGTGGAGGAGAGAGAACGAGCAAGAGGGAGATCTGAACTTGAGAAAGACTGCAGAAATAGAGTCAATAAAAGAGAAAAGCTGAGAAGAAATCACTGCTAGATAAAGGGTTGTGTGTGGGTGAGAGCTTTAGGACCCGCGTCAATATTAGAAACGCTTTCCAGCGCTGGAGAGAGCGAAGCGGGAAGGATGGAAACAGGTTAAAAGAGTTATTTTTAAACCACAGGCAAACGTTCCTTGCGTTAGTGTTCTCTAGCCTGTTATTTTTGATATTCAGCTACAATGTTTTGCAATGAGACTAAATGTGAATGATATATACGTTTTTTTTCTTTATTGGAATCGAAATGAGGAATCGATAAGAATCGGAATCGATAAGCAAAATCCAAATACGAATCGGAATCGTTAAAATTCAAACGATACCCGACCCTCCGTGTGATGCAAAGAAAACACACACGATGAAACCAGCCATGTGCTCAACAGAGAGAGAGAGAGAGAGACAGGGTGTGAGACAGGTAGAGAGAGACAGGTAGAAAGAGTGAGACCGGTAGAGAGAGACAGATAGACAGACAGATGAGAGAGGTAGACAGACAGATATGAGACAGGTAGACAGATAGGGAGTGAGACAGGTAGAGAGAGAGACAGGTAGAGAGAGACACAGGTAGACAGATAAGGAGTGAGACAGGTAGAGAGAGAGACCGGTAGAGAGAGACAGGTAAACATAGGGTGTGAGACAGGTAGAAAGAGTGAGACAGGTAGGTAGAGAGATAGACAGACAGATATGAGACAGGTAGACAGATAGGGAGTGAGATAGGTAGAGAGAGACAGGTAGAGAGAGACAGGTAGAGAGAGACAGGTAGAGAGAGAGGGTGTGAGAGAGGTAGAGAGTGAGACAGGTAGAGAGAGACAGGTAGACAGGTAGGGTTTGAGACAGGTAGAGAGAGAGAGACAGATAGGGTGTGAGACAGGTAGACAGATAGGGAGTGAAACAGGTAGAGAGAGAGAGACAGATAGGGTGTGAGACAGGTAGAGAGAGACAGGTAGGCAGATAGGGAGTGAGACGGGTGTGAGAGGTAGAGAGTGAGACAGGAAGAGAGAGACACAGGTAGACAGGTAGGGTGTGAGACAGGTAGAGAGTGAGAGACAGGTAGACAGGTAGGGTTTGAGACAGGTAGAGAGAGAGAGATAGGGTGTGAGACAGGTAGACAGATAGAGAGAGAGACAGGTAGACAGATAGAGAGAGAGACAGGTAGACAGATAGGGAGTGAGACAGGTAGAGAGAGACAGATAGGGTGTGAGACAGGTAGAGAGTGAGAGACACAGGTAGACAGGTAGGGTTTGAGACAGGTAGAGAGAGAGACAGATAGGGTGTGAGACAGGTAGAGAGTGAGAGACAGGTAGACAGATAGGGAGTGAGACAGGTAGAGAGAGAGAGACAGATAGGGTGTGAGACAGGTAGAGAGAGAGAGACAGATAGGGTGTGAGACAGGTAGAGAGAGAGAGACAGGTAGGCAGATAGGGAGTGAGACGGGTGTGAGAGAGGTAGAGAGTGAGACAGGTAGAGAGAGACACAGGTAGACAGGTAGGGTGTGAGACAGGTAGAGAGTGAGAGACAGGTAGGGTTTGAGACAGGTAGAGAGAGAGAGACCGATACGGTGTGAGACAGGTAGAGAGAGACAGGTAGACAGATAGAGAGAGAGACAGGTAGACAGATAGGGAATGAGACAGGTAGAGAGAGAGACAGGTAGAGAGCGAGAGACACAGGTAGACAGGTAGGGTTTGAGACAGGTAGAGAGAGAGACAGATAGGGTGTGAGACAGGTAGAGAGTGAGAGACAGGTAGACAGATAGGGAGTGAGACAGGTAGAGAGAGAGAGACAGATAGGGTGTGAGACAGGTAGAGAGAGAGAGACAGATAGGGTGTGAGACAGGTAGAGAGAGAGAGACAGGTAGGCAGATAGGGAGTGAGACGGGTGTGAGAGAGGTAGAGAGAGACAGGTAGAGAGAGACACAGGTAGACAGGTAGGGTGTGAGACAGGTAGAGAGTGAGAGACAGGTAGGGTTTGAGACAGGTAGAGAGAGAGAGACCGATACGGTGTGAGACAGGTAGAGAGAGACAGGTAGACAGATAGAGAGAGAGACAGGTAGACAGATAGGGAATGAGACAGGTAGAGAGAGAGAGACAGATAGGGTGTGAGACAGGTAGAGAGAGAGAGACAGGTAGGCAGATAGGGAGTGAGACGGGTGTGAGAGAGGTAGAGAGTGAGACAGGTAGAGAGAGACACAGGTAGACAGGTAGGGTGTGAGACAGGTAGAGAGTGAGAGACAGGTAGGGTTTGAGACAGGTAGAGAGAGAGAGACCGATACGGTGTGAGACAGGTAGAGAGAGACAGGTAGACAGATAGAGAGAGAGACAGGTAGACAGATAGGGAATGAGACAGGTAGAGAGAGAGACAGGTAGAGAGCGAGAGACACAGGTAGACAGGTAGGGTTTGAGACAGGTAGAGAGAGAGCGAGAGACACAGGTAGGCAGATAGGGAGTGAGTCAGGTAGACAGGTAGAGAGAGAGAGACAGATAGGGTGTGAGACAGGTAGAGAGAGACAGGTAGACAGATGGTGTGTGAGACAGGTAGGGTGTGAGACAGGTAGAGAGAGAGACAGGTAGACAGATAGTGTGTGAGACAGGTAGGGTGTGAGACAGGTAGAGAGAGAGACAGATAGACAGATAGTGTGTGAGACAGGTAGGGTGTGAGCCAGGTAGAGAGAGAGACAGGTAGACAGATAGTGTGCGAGACAGGTAGGGTGTGAGACAGGTAGAGAGAGAGACAGATAGGGTGTGAGACAGGTAGAGAGAGAGACAGGTAGGGTGTGAGACAGGTAGAGAGAGAGACAGATAGACAGATAGTGTGTGAGACAGGTAGGGTGTGAGCCAGGTAGAGAGAGAGACAGGTAGACAGATAGTGTGCGAGACAGGTAGGGTGTGAGACAGGTAGAGAGAGAGACAGATAGGGTGTGAGACAGGTAGAGAGAGAGACAGATAGACAGATAGTGTGTGAGACAGGTAGGGTGTGAGACAGGTAGAGAGAGAGACAGGTAGACAGATAGTGTGTGAGACAGGTAGGGTGTGAGACAGGTAGAGAGAGAGACAGGTAGACAGATAGTGTGTGAGACAGGTAGGGTGTGAGCCAGGTAGAGAGAGAGACAGGTAGACAGATAGTGTGCGAGACAGGTAGGGTGTGAGACAGGTAGAGAGAGAGACAGATAGGGTGTGAGACAGGTAGAGAGAGACAGGTAGACAGATAGTGTGTGAGACAGGTAGGGTGTGAGCCAGGTAGAGAGAGAGACAGGTAGGGTGTGAGACAGATAGTGTGTGAGACAGGTAGAGAGAGAGACAGGTAGACAGATAGTGTGTGAGACAGGTAGGGTGTGAGCCAGGTAGAGAGAGAGACAGGTAGGGTGTGAGACAGATAGTGTGTGAGACAGGTAGAGAGAGAGACAGGTAGACAGATAGTGTGTGAGACAGGTAGGGTGTGAGACAGGTAGAGAGAGAGACAGGTATCTGGGTATCAGTGGTGTGTGATGTAAAGGAAACCCTCCTAAAGCTGAATGCTGTTAGGCTTTGGACTCTCAGTCCCGCTCAGATCTACAAGCACAGACATGCAGGACACATAGCAGAGCTCTTACTGGAGTATTGCTGGAGGAGTTATGATCTTATCAAGGCCTTCATGAAGATAGTTCCCAGTGCTCAGCTGATAAGAAACCAGCAGCATCTACTGGCATGTAGCAGACAGAACTGGGCTTCATACCTGAACAGTTTTCTTGATTCTGTGCGAAGGCCCGGGGTATTCTCCGGAGTACAGATCCGTCAGGAACAGGGAGTTTATCAGCGTGGACTTTCCCAACCCGGACTCTCCTGGAGGACCGACAGAAAATAGAGAAATGTGAGGTTAAAATGAGACCTGAATATAGTACAACATCCTATAAAAACTAGATTTACTGTGAGAAATCCCAAATCCCAATCCCAAATTAGATGAGCTTAGGTTTTATATACTCTACCATACAAACGTTTGGGGTTAGTGAAACAAGTGAAGTATTTATGAGTTAAGAGATTCGTTCAAGAACGCAGATCCATCCAATGTCGGATGTTTTTGTCAATTGGGAGTTTTTGTGAGAATGCTGATTCATCCAATAACAAAACAAGTGAAGTCTTTATGAGTGAGTCATTGAACTATTAATATTGAAATAAATATTTAAATAGACTGAAGCAATGAACCTTTTGTCAGAACCTCTAGTATATTTTGTTTACTTATCTAATATTTTTCTTCAGAATCGTGAGAGAATTGTGACCTCTATTTAAAGCCCCCCTGTAGTCATTCATTTGATCCCTTATTGATCACCATTTAGTGTACGTGGTTCTATGTATATGCAAATGAGCCCCGCCTCCACTCACTCAGCTCAGAGATCTAATCAATCACCTTACTGAGGTTAACACTGCACAACAGCGGAACGAAACTCACTATTTTGTGCTTCCCGGACCGTTTATCAGTTTGGACCGTCAGTGTAGCGCCGATCTTCATCTACACAGCGCTGAGAGATCCAGTGAAGAGCGCATTTGAGTTCGCCACTGAAGTAATAACATCGCTGCGAGATCTAGTGGGAAGCGTTCACATCATCTCTCCGTTATTAACGGATCAAACAGCGCTGACGTGCAAACCAGGAGGGGGGTAAAAAGACATCACGTAAAAACAAACTAAATCAAAAACGCTGTAAAAACTCTCCAATTTATCAAGAAATATTCACCTTGATCCATAAAAGTTTCTTGACCTGTGTTTTAAAACTCCCTCGTGATGATAGGAGTTTTGTAGCGGTAGGCAAGCTATCCCATGACACGAGGCCTGTCACTTTACGGGTTTTTTCCAAAAATGTGTGTTAGGTGGACAGATCAATACAGGACACAGAACATGTCGGATACTGGACAATAACACTGTCTTTTCTGTTCACCAAATGCTTTTTAATATTCGCTATTACTTCATTGCAAGTGAACAAGCGCGCCGTTATTTGTTTTGTAGTGACGCGTGTGTATTTAATATATCATGAGGATCACGAGTTGCGTATTTGCGCTAAATCCGCGCAGATTTGTCTTACACGAACTTCCCCAGCAAAGTGAGTAAACACAGAAACACGCCGGATTGGCTCGCGTTTCCCGCCAAAGTTCATTTGTGCTGAAACTTCACGCCAATAAATCATCAGGAATATTGCTGACTTGTGCGTCTCAAGCGCCTCTTTACGCTCGTCCTAACGCCTGTTAGGTGTCCGTGGATTTGCCTGTATTTGTGGATGAAAATGGAAACGTCTTTACACATGGAAAATCGATTCAATGAACACTTGTCTCAAATCGAACAGGATTTTGACAGCCCTACATGATACCAGTATAAAATAAAGAATTTTTTTTCTTTGCCGTCATAAACACGACTTCCCACCTCGTACGAACGAACGAACTCCCACCACGAGCCGGAGAGAGCGGATGAGCACTGGAGGAAGGCTAACACTAATGGAGCGTGGCATTCATCACGCTGAGACTTCAGCACATTAACTGCAGTAACGAGCCTCTGGCAGGGCGAGTGCTGGCCTCGTTACAGACCTGGCCGCTTCCCAAACCCAAACACTAATGCAAGAACAACTGGGTAAAGTCCACTGCACGGCCAATGTGTATTACAGACCAGCAAGAGACGTCACTAATGACAGACAACCAGTTAAAATCACAGGGCTCGACGTGAACCCTTAACATGTGCTTTCAAGCAAATCGGCCGTTCACTTGTCAAGAGTAAAAAATTAGCTTTTTTAGGGGAAAAAAAGGTGTAAAAATAATTTATTCTGAAGCAATATTCTCATCAGTGTTCAGTCAGCGTTGACATTTAAATCTGCATATTTATGATATTTTAACCTTTATTAAGGACATTTTTCCCCCTAACCGTTTTAAAATATAAGGTTCATTTTAAATTCTTAAATTTGATCAATTAAATCGGAATAATATATGTTATTCAACACTATAGGGCTGTTACCAATCAAATTATTTACACAGAAAAATTTGTGTTATGAGATAATATACAAATAAGAAATGTTGGACTAATACTTTTAAACACGGGATTAAACCGCCAATAGGTGTTTTAGTGAATCCCTCGTTATTGATGTTTTAATCAGGCTAAAGTAAAATTCTCTTCCACTCGCCCCTTCAAACACCCCACTTGTTCCAAGCGTTAATGTCGAGCCCTGTGTTGGGATATTATGTGATGAACACGTCTAGCAGCTCTGCTCATAGACACTTATATAAACATTTCGCAGATAAAAAGACCAGAAATAATGCCTTTCTCTTGTGGGAATAACTCAACCACGAGTCCTCGGGTCAGATTTATAAATGCAGGGGATGTCGTCCACAGAAACCACAGCTCGCACGCAAAGCCAAAGAAAACATGGGAGAAAAAACAGGACAGATCCTGTCTCACTTGTAAAAGAATTAACTTCAAACCTACTCTCGCTTTTCAGTGCTCTTCACTGCAAAGCCCTTGCATTTTTCAAGATGAACAGGATGTGAAATCACTGCCATTCAACCCTAGTTTCCTGTGTGGTTTTCCAAACAGCATTTAGACCAAACGTCAAGAATGTAGCCTCAACCTGGCAAGTGTTCAAACTAGACCGGAAGCTCCTCAAGTGCTCATTACGACCTAAGCGCACAACGAAGCCATCACAGAGAGTAGCTAACTCCATTACACAGTGTGGTTTATTAGTTGATACATCAATGAATGTGTTTTCTTACCCACAACCATGAGAGTGAACTCAAAGCCCCGTTTCACAGACTTCCGGTACACTTGGTTCGGGAGGCTCGCGAAGCCCACGTATCCCTCCAGATTCTTCTGCTGCTGAAAACACACACACACACACACGTTGTAAAAGTTGCAAATATTATGCTGTATAAGGACAGTGCTGCTGCTATAATTAATAAAGTAAACCTAACTCAGAAATTGGGCTCTAAATGGAGTTCAGTGATTCAGAGCAAATGATGATGATGTTTAATCATTACCAACACCATTAGATCACCTTTTCTATTTGTTCATCTGGCTGTTATAACTCAGGTACAGCAACCAAAAAAATCAAAAGTTAATGATTTAAGGGTCAAGAGCACAACTAAAACAAACACTGATCATCATAATGGTGACTTAAAATTACGTTTTTTTTCCTCCTTCAGTGATTCTGCTTGTTAACATCAGGTGTCTTCAATGTTGGCAATATAAAATAAAGACTTCTTAATTCATCTTTGACGTCCGTCTGTTATTCAGATATTTTTTTTTATTTTTTTTTGTGTAAATTTTAAATGGTTAACTTTTAAGGGATTAATTTGATTAACTATTACTCAATTCTAATATGTTAAATTTAATTAATAATATTGCTTGTAATCTGTTGCCAGAATTTTATTGATTAGATATAGCGTATTCATTTTTACAGTGCACATTTGATCAGGGAGACTTGCACTGTAAATAATGCAATCTGTACTCTTGAATAAGCCAATGAAAGGTGTTGAAAATAAAATATCTGTGCTGGTCATACTTACTGCTGTGTGTTTGGATTCCAGAAGTGCATGTTATGAGATGAGTAACAGAAGTTCAGCATCGAACAGCATTTCGGGACGAGAAGGGAGAGAGAAAACAGAAATTTATGACCAAACAGAGTCATAACTATTTATACGCAGCCCAAAATTCATGCCAAATGCTTAAGATTGAAACCGAGATTAGATTGTAAATTTAATGGGAACAGAAACAAGATTTCAACCAAATTTGTAAGTCAAATCAAACAATGCACAAATAACTACAATAGACTAAAGTTTATCTAGGAGTTTAGTGGAAAAAAAATAATTGGGAAAAATAATATATTATATATATATTTTTATTATTTTATTAGTACATTTTTATGGTAATGTTAAATGTATTTATACACATCTTATTTTAATAAAAATAAAGTATATAATAAAATATATATAATTTATTTTTTATTATAATAAGATATTTATAAATACATTTAATATTACCGTACTAAAAAGAGTAGAAAAAATACATAAAATATTACATTTCGCAATATAAATTGGGTCTTTGTTTGTACATGGAAATATTTAGCTGCCTTTAAATTTTAAAATGATCATATTTGGCATGTAAAAAATGATCCCGGATGTTTGAAGTCTTTCCCGCCTTTAAAACTCCATGGAATATTCCTCACAATAAGTGACCAAAACAAAAATATAAATCACAACATTTCCATGAAAGACTCAGTATGTTTCCATACAAAGTTGCGAATTCAACTTATGTGCAAAATTGTAATATTGCATTAAACATTAGTGAATAAAGCAGCGTTTCCTTCCCGTCTTCAAGAGTCAAATCATCACTTCCTGTGAAACTGCTGCAGAATATCAGTAATAAACTGTGAGTTTCCCTCAATCATAAACGAGTGTGTGTCGAGCGTCACCATAAACGAGTGTGTGTCGAGCGTCACCATAAACGAGTGTGTGTCGAGCGTCATCATAAACGAGTGTGTGTCGAGCGTCATCATGAGCGAGTGTGTGTTGAGCGTCATCATAAACGAGTGTGTGTCGAGCGTCAGACGAAACACAGTAAACGCTGTCGTGTTCTCTGGCGTTCGGATGCTGGTGTTCGGGAACACACTCGTGTGTGTGAGACGCTTCAGGAGGGAATACACCCAATCACTCTGAACACACACTTCCACTCCGGCGTTTCAGAAACACCAAACCAACATTAGAGACGCTGCGATGCCATTGGTCCACTGGTTACTCCAGTCATCCAATCACAGCCTCCGCTGAGGCAAAGTCACATGAGGTTTGAGGGATGTGTTGTGTTAAATGTGTTTTGTGTATGTGTTCTTATCAGATTAAACATGTATCCACCTCAATTAAGCGCATATGGTTCTTTCTGTGCATTTACATGCATCTTGGTGCTGCAATCCAGCATTTTTTAATGCGATATCCCAAAATGCACTTAAAAATAGGTGGATGGAAACAGTTAGAGACTGAAATCAAATCAAGAATCAATCGCATTTACATTTCTCATGATCCGAGGAACCTTTCCATCTAAAGACTCACGCTTGAAATGAGTTTGTGCCAACATATCGAATTATGTTATGACATCTAGACATGGCTAATACATCAAAAAAGCTTTGCTTTGAGAGCTAAATGTGAAACGATTCAGCTAAATGCTCTCTCATTTTGTGACAATTACTGGAAAGTCAAATAAAAGCAGTCGAGACGGCTCTAAAACGTGCGAGCGAACTGTGTTTGTGATTATTGTGCACAAGATGAGAAGTGATGGTGTTGGCAGCACAATCACAGACGCCTTAATGTCACAGCATCATTTATTCTGCATGATAACTTGGATTGTTTTAGTAATAGGCCTAAATCTCACGATCGGCCTTTACAGTATTGCTTTAATTAGTCTCTGAGGCACTCAAAACATGTAATGAGAAGCAGAGACTAAAGTAAAGCCAAATACTAAAGCCACACATTAACTAAACTACACAAACCTGGTGTCAGACTGTGTGAAGTGTGCAGTTATTTAAAACAGATCTGACTGAGTACAGGATGTGAGAGCCTGACCACAATCTGAACGACATACAGAATCTGCTTTCATCTGAAGGAATTAACTGAGGAAAATAACATTTAATAGCAGATTATATCTACCAAATATATGTTATTCAACAAATAGATGAAAGAAAAAAACATTATTTGAGATGCACAATTTTGAGCTATATCTATCTCTAAATTCTAACATCAGCAGGCTTGAGTGGCATTTGGAGTGATACAAATGACTAATTTAATGTAAAGAGCTTTTAAATTAGATTATTATGGCGATTATAAAAACAAACAAACCCCAAAACAACATTGAATATTCAGTTTTTAAACCGGTTCGCATGTCTTTTCTCTGTCTAGTAACTTATCTATCCACCCTAAACATCATCTCTGCACGACATTCTTTATAACTGAAAAAATATTTATTTAACAAGTAACTTAAGTTAAAAATAACGCAGAAATTGAACAGCTGCGTTAATTCAGCAGTTGTGTGATTAAGTTAGCTGCTAACCAACATTAGCTTGCTTATGTTCTAATTTTAAAAAAGTATTTCTGCAAAGTATGTGCGTGTGATGTTTAAGAATTATGAAAACTTGGGTGTGTTTGGTTCATTTTGATTTAATTCTAACGAATGTATGCCGTTTATCGCTCTTGAATGACTCGCGAGAGGAAAAAACCTGACAGGAAATGCCTCGCGCGCTCTCACTAACCTAACGTTAAATTACACTAAAAGAAGCAAAAGCGCCAGTCGCGAGCGTCGATTTAAACTACCGAAACGCTCTGGGTAAACGCTACCGATCCTCAAACGGCGATGTTTTGGTAGATGGTATATCGTAAAAGTGATCAGAACTTACCCATGATGTTGATGTTCAAATACCGCTTTAGAAACCGATCGTTCTTTGGCAACCCTACATTCCCCTTGTTACCACTTCCGCGAAACTCTGTTACGCCATTGGCGTAGAAACCGGTCACATGAGTGGAGTTTGATTACGCAAAATACGTGCCTTGACTTTGGTGAATAGCCAGGAAAATCAATAAATCTCGCGATATTAAGTGCGCACGCACACCTCCCTGAGGCAGATCCATATGGGCCGACTAGAAAAATAAAAAGATTAAAAAATAAATTGTAAAATATTTTTTTCCTTATTACTCAAATATATAATTTCTAACGTGATGGTAGGCTATGAATATTAATTCATATTTAATCATTGTATTCTTATGAATATAAATACGGTTTACAAGTACTACAAGCATACAATTATTAAAGATTTATTATAATTTATTAAATGTGTTTTTTTTTTTGTATTATAGTATGAAAGTTATTTTCCTATTTGGTATTTTAAAATTAATCGCACTTTTAATTTCTTTTTGTATGACATCATATGTAAAAAATAAATAAAATAAAAATAGAATAAACTTAACTAAATGTCTTTTAAACGTCACCAAAACAATGTTACTAGTAAAATTGCAGTTTTATCTCAGTAGCAATCTTAATAGCGAAGTTTCACAAAAGTACAAATAAATAAATAACTGACTATCAATACAATTATGTGGTTGTTTTATTGATAGAATAAAGTAATTATACATAAATTATTTATTATAATTCTTTGTCAATATGTGCAAATTAGATGCTTTGTGTAATTGTAATGGAGAGATTACTGATCTATAATTGGTTAGAAATTATGAGCCTATAAAATAAATAAAATAAAATACCCTATAAAATCGCCTATAAAATAACAAATCTTCTATTCACAATATATTTTAAAATCAATGGCTCCCAATGTTATAGTTTTCATCACGACACTATTTTTTTTTTAACTCAGAGAACAATAACAGAAAGATAATAAGAGACAAAAAAGTAATGAAAGAAAAAGAACACAAAAAATGTAGTACATAAATTATTAATATTTTGTCACTGCCATTATACATGTGATTAGTATTTAGCACCACAAAAAATATTTTAGTTGAATATTTCAATATTATTTCTGCTACAATAAGTGCCTGTCAAAGACTCTTATTTTGAAATTCCAATGTTGCGCATGCGCAGTTAGTGTTGTGTACAGCTCCATGTTCCAGTTTCAGCATGTTTCCGAATCATCGCTGCTGTCACTGTACATGATCTGACATTAACCGGTAAGGTCACGGACACCATTGATTTTTTTACTGAAAGCAGCTGTGATAGCAGATCCCATAAACAGCTTTACTAGTAGAGCCGGTTTGAAATGATCGAGGAATGTATTGAATGTACAGTGTGTGATTTAGTGTGTTGAACCGCAGCACCGGAGGGTCATGAGCTC